TTGCAAAAAAGAAAGCTTTTCCAATAAATTAGATTTGGTTCCCGCTTCGTCTTTATCTTTATCATGAAGAGACTCCATTGATATTATGTACTCCATCTGATCAATTGTTTTCCTGAGTGAAGTTAAAGCATCACAAGTCACCTCCCTCCCTCTCTTTCTCATGTTCTTTTTCTCTGTTGATAATCTGGAAAAACTCAGCCGCAATTTTGGCTACTTTTTGCAAGGTTTGATGGAAATTCTAGGAATTAGATTCTTCTTTGGAGGTGTATTTGGCTAGAAGGAAGTTGTTTAGTTTATTTCTAGGTCATGTTCTGCTTTGAGTGCGAAGATTATGATTTTGGTTACCAATTTTTTGATAGCACCACCAGAAATGGAATTCCCCTGTAATAAGCAGAGTCTCGCAGAGAAGAAAGCTTTCATAAGACAACAGCTTTGTTGCATATTACACACTGAAATTATATGCAAGCAAGAGTCTCACAAGTGCTGGCTGGCCAATTGTTTTCTCTGTGTCAAATAAGCTAGGCTAGGAGGAAAATGGGGAATTTCTCTGCGTCAAATAAGCTAGGCTAGGAGGAAAATGGGGAAGAAGAAAGCAAGTTAATGAAAAGACTAATTTGCCCCCAAAACTAACGGTTAAGAGATGGATGGCTAATGGAAGGATCATTAGTGGAACAAATTAGAAAGCCGAGTGTCTTTTTTATCGAAATTAAAAGTCAAAGACCAATTTTGGAAAATCGCAATAGTCGGGGGGACCATTGCTGGAAATACCTCTTATTATTGTTATTTTTGTTATTATTATTATTATTGTTGTTATTATTGTTGTTATTATTATTATTCTTATTATTATAATTATTGTTATTGTTATTGTTATTGGTACTGTTACTGTTACTGTTGTTGATGTTGTTGTTGTTGTTGTTATTGTTATTGTTATTGTTATTGTTATTGTTATTATTATTATTATTATTATTATTATTATTATTATTATTATTATTATTATTATTATTATATATTTGCACTTTGGTGCGAATGGAGCGTCCAGTTGCGAATATGCGTATGCCTGATATCTGTCCACGTGTCCAGATCTAATGGATGAGAAACATTGATTTTTAAAATAAACGCGGTGGCATTTTCTTAAATAATTGAACATCAAAGTGCAAGTAAAATGTATTACAAGTGCATGTAAAATGTATTAAAGGTGCAAGTAAAAATTACGCATCAATACTAAGTGCACCTATAGTTATAAATAGTTGCATCTATAGTTATACCTAGTTGCACCTAGGTGCATGAATATTTGCGAGTGGTTTTCATAGGTACTACTACCCACTGAACTCCACGCAAGAACAAAAACGATGCCAAACAGAACGAACACAAATCAATGAATGTTAACAAGGCAAAATTACATGCACTTGCAGACGAAAATATGTGCACTTGTAGGTGAAAGTAGGTGCACCCGATCAATGAATGCAGACAAAAACTACATGCACTTGCAGACGAAAGTAGGTGCACTTGTAGGTGAAAGTAGGTGCACTTGTAGGTGAAAGTAGGTGCACCCGATCAATGAATGCTGACACTTGACGCGCGCTGATTGGTTCACATTTCTCTCCTGGGCACCTATTTCCACCTAAATTCGACTATATATATATATATATATATATATATATATATATATATATATATATATATATATATATATATATATATATATATATACACACACACACACACACATATATATATATATATATACATATACACACACACACACACACACACACACACACACACACACACATATATATATATATATATATATATATATATATATATATATATATATATATACACACACACACACACACACACATATATATATATATATATACACACACACACACACATATATATATATACACACACACACACACATACACACACACACACACACACACATATATAAAAGAACCCATCTTTAGGTAAGAACCTCGGAATTAATCTTAGTCTTTTATGTTGATCAATCAATGGTCCATATTTTTAATAATTTTAATAGGTTATTTTACGTTAGAGGGATTTTATTATTAATGGCAATTAGGGGTAGTTTTGAATTTTCAATAGCAGATCCGGGGGTGTGAGTGCGTAATAGTCGGCTTACGCTGCTTCAATTCACCTCTCATTCAAACGTCAGTTTCGAATTGAATAAGAGTCCATCGCTTTCCGTGCTTTTGTTCTCAATCCGATTCACGCCCTGTCACCGTTCGCTTTCTGGTGTGTGTGCATTCGTTGGTGTCATTTTGTGCATTCCTAGTGTTTGTGTGCATGGGTGCTGCTACTGCCCAGTATCCGATTGGTATTTTCCATGGAGGTTCCAGAAAATTGGCGTCTGGTTCTGATTCTCCAGCAGTGAACTTCCCTTCTAATTCAAGATCGATTATTTACCCAACTTCTTCTTCAATCCTATCTTCTATCCTTTATTGCATTTTTGTTTGCTTTTTTGTACATTAAATGATTTCTTCCCACCATGCATGGCATGTAGAAAGGGTTGCAACAAAGGAAATGCCAAGCCTTGGTTCAACACATGTTTTTCCACTTGCAGTCAAAACACATTAACACCCTATCACCCTCCCCACACTTTACATTTTGCTTCTACTTTATAATCAACCCTTTATTTTACAATGTACTATGTTTAATTATTCGATGAATTTAACAGATACAAACATGTTTATTATTCATAGGATGACATAATTTTTTTTTAAATAAAATTTTGAGCGTAACCCAAGTATCTATTCTCATGCCAATGATTGATCATTAACGTTTGTCACACGTTTACATGCACAGTCGTATACAGGTGCATGCACACATTTGCTAACCTAAGTACGCACAGTATTTCGTATATCAATTTTCACGAGCATCATGGCACAAACTTGTTACCCAAGTGCACACGCGTTCTATCTAAGTGCACACACAACACAGTCCAATTAAGTGCACCCCAAATGTATAACATCTTTTCGTATACAAACTAATTCCGCAAATTATGGCACACACAGTGCAACTCAAGTGCACACAGTCAACCAAGTGTACACCCTAATATATCAACCCAAGTGCACACCAACTTGTTTTACATCTTTTCATCTACACACTCCGCAAATTATGCAGTGGACTCGTGTCCACAATGCATTGTGGACACGAGTCCAAAACTGACGTCTTTTTCAGGGAAAACGCGTCATTTCAATTTTTAAAAAATTTTTTGATTTTGTCTCGCCGTTAACGGCGTTATTCGTTTTTGCCATTATGAATGTACAATTATGGCATTATGAATGTACAGTTATGAAATTATGAACGTAAGTTATAAAATTATGAACACAGAGCTCTGACATTATGAACTTACAATTATGAACATATAGTGATAAAATTATGAACATAGAGCTCTAAAATTGTGAACATCGAGCTTTGAAAATTATGATTTTACAGTTATTGCATTATGAATGTACAGTTACGGAATTATGAATGTACAGTTATGCAATTATGAATGTACAGTTATGAAATTATGAACACAGAACTCTGACATTATGAACTTACAATATGAACATATAGTGATAAAATTATGAACATAGAGCTCTAAAATTGTGAACATAGAGCTTAAAAAATTATGAAGTTACAGTTATTGAATTATGAATGTACAGTTACGGAATTATGAATGTACAGTTATGGAAGTATGAATGTACAGTTATAGAATTATGAACATAGAGCTCTGACATTATAAACTTACAATTATGAACATATAGTAATAAAATTATGAACATATACTCGTATGATGAAGCGGTCTGAAAAAAAAAAAAAAAAGATAACAGTGCCTAACAGCACTGTTACCCGTGTCCAACATGCATGCTGGACACAGGTCCATAGCATAACGATTGTACACACTCATTATTTATGTTATGGCACACGCAATTTAACTCAAGTGCACAACATAGTCTTTAACATCAATCTGGTTTTCATGAATCCATTCTGTCAGTATTTTTGCACATTATGGCACACACAACACAATCCAAGTGCACACTAAAATGTTTAACGTCTTTTCAACTCAAACTAATTCTGCAAATTATGACACACAGTGTAATCCAAGTGCACACAGTTCAACCCAAGTGCATACCCTAATCTATCAACCCAAGAGCACACCAACTTGTTTCGCACAATATGACACACACAGTTTAACCCAAGTGCCCACCATAGTCTATCACATCAACCTAGTTTTCGTGAATTCATTCTGTCAGTATTATTGCAAATTATGACACACACAGTTTAACCTAAGTGCACACCAACTTGTTTAAAGTCTTTTCATACACACTAATTATGCACATTACGACACACATTTTAACCCAAGTGCAAATCTTAGTCTATCACATTAACCTGCTATCCGTGAATTCATTCTGTCAGAATAATTACACATTATGACACACAAAGTTCAACCCAAATGCACACCAACATGTTTAACGTCTTTTCACTTCAATCCTCCCAAATGCATGAGGGAGTTGATCAAACTTAATTTGCTGCCTCATTATTACCCAAAACTAGATAGAGGAAAACATGTGTGAATTTACATGAATTTTAGTTTCGTACATGGATGTCGCCTTAATAACAAGAAAGAAACCTTTTTTTGTTCTTTTGGACGGAACTTACTAGATAGAGACCGAAAACGATGGGGATATTGATTCACAACTCCAAAAGAATTTTTCCTTTTTTTGCCACTTAAAAATCATGAAAAGAATCACATTATAATATTTCCTTTTATTTGGTTGCCATAATCTCACAATTGATCAAGCTAACAAAATTCTATATTTATCAAGCTAATAAATATCATAATTAATCAAGCTAATAAATTTTGATTGTAATTAATAATAAATAATAATAATAATAATAATAATAATAATAATAATAATAATAATTTTTTGAAACTTAAATTATCAACATCAATTATTTAATGTACTAAAGAAGCATTTTATAAACGCATTCATCAATAAGCAACTTAGACCATACATCTCTAACATCATCAATTTCTTGTTGGTTGTAGGACAATTTTTCAAATCTCTCCAAACTCTACAAAGTTGAAAAGAGATAAATAATCAATAAACTAGTATTTTCAAAAATTTCAAAGATAAAGATATTTTATTAAATTACTTACTTATTCACTCCTTTGTATGCTTGGTTGGAAACAATTTCCAACATGAATTTTATCACAAAATAGCCGCATTCGTTAGTTCCTCTTTGTAAGGCACACTACATTTGAATTACAATACAATTAATAATTTTTTAATAAAAACAATAAGATATATGTAGTTTTACAAAGTGTATGAAGTACTTACCGAACATGTAATCTATTTTGGTGGACAATTTTGTTTCATTCCACTCAACATGCTTGTTGCATTCACACACATTAATATAAGACATAAAATATATGTAAGTACATGACATCACAATATTAATAATAAATATTAATTATTTATAAATTTACATACATTTCCATGATCTCTTTAATATCCTTACGTGGCTCAAGATCAATGGAATCAAACCAATAGATTTCATGCAATTGAAGACAAATCGTCATCAATATTCCATACCCACTATAAATAAGTAATTTATTAGTTTTAAGTAAATATAATATATAATATATAATATATATAATATATAATAAAAGTATATTATATAACTTATTGTATTTAAAACGGAATTAATACTTACTCGAAAACATATGGGCTAAATAACAATTTCTCTTTCCATATTGCATGGTGGCATTTATATACATTATCCTCTCATCTCTAGTCATTATTCTTGGTTGAAAAATCCAATTTGAATCTAGGAAGCCATATGTGTCAAACAAAACACCTACAAGTTTCATTTGTAAATTAATATACTAAATGGATATTAATTCATAACAATACTATTTCAAACAATCTCAAAATAATTAACAATTCAATAAAATACTAAAACACCCTAAATTCAATAATAATATTTAAAATAACCATACATCATACATTAAATTATAATAATCCAATCTAATTATAATAATATATTTAAAATAATTTCCAAAATTTGATATATATATACACACACACACACACACAATAATTTGAAGTATAATAACACAATAATTCCTAAATTTCAAACTATATTAACATTAATTCCTAAAATTCAAAATAAATTAACAAGAATTCAAAATATAATAACAATAAAAATAATTCCTAAAATACACAATAGTTCTTAAAATACGAAGTATATTAATCTATAATGCCTAAAATACACAATAATTCTTAAAATTTGAAATATATTAACAAAAATTCCAAAAATACTTAATAACTCTTAAAATTTGAAATATATATAAAAAAAATAATTATTATAAATTATAAATTATAAATTATAAATATATTAAAAATGATTTCAACTCATAAAAATTCAAAAATCAAAACAATATTTTATTTTGCAAACAAAAAAAAAAACAATATTTTAAAAATGTATAAATTCTTACATTCTTACAATGTGGTCGCGGTGGCGAGTGGGAGAGCGGTGGGAAGCGACGACAGTGGTGGCGCAGAGGCGATGGGGAAGAAGAAGGAATGGAGGACAATGTGGACAAGGAGAAGGAGTGGGTTAAAAGTCTTTTTTTTTAAAATTATAAATTTATTTTAATTTTGTGACGTCGAATTTGTAAAAAACAGACGTAAGTAATTTTTGTAGTGTAAGTGGTGAATCTCGTAAGTAATTTTTGTAGTGTAAGTGGTGAATCTTTCACTGAACAAGAGTGACACACACCATTATCATCCTCATTTAAGTTGAAACGATGAGAAGGGTTAGGTTAGGAGTTTTAATCACAGAATTTGCATTTAGTCAAGTATTTATCATGCTGCTTCTATCACCATAAAGGATGATTCTTTCACTGTATAGTATGGTTGTAGTTCAATGTACACCCAATCTCATATATGGAACTATCTATCTGATCAGTTCTTTCTCTTGTCCTGCGTAACACATCATTTGTTGTTCTACAAGTTATGAAAGCATTAAGAATGACAATCTGTATATGCATATTTTAATCTTCCTCTCAATCCGTACTAATAAATATAGAATTCCTATTACATACTCTTGAAGTGATACTTTAAGCATATTAATTTATTTATTTCATTCTATTGTTAAGTGGCATTCGCAGCAGCCAATCATTAAAAAAAGACTTCAATTCCAAGTATTGAATGATATATACATTAAGGAATTACCTCACAAAGTGCATATATCTGACAGGGAAAAACAAGCCATCACCTAAACAGTCGAGATGAGATATCTGTTTGGTGGCGTAGGGAAGCTGAGTGGTTTCTTACTCAGAATATTGCAGTCTGTGTCTGCAACTGCTTTTGTTGGACTAATGGCTTCAGCTTTATGCTTCACATGCTGCATCAGTTTTTGGTATCTATTTTATTCATCCTTCACCTTTACCTAAAAATAGATGTCTATTTGATTTTTTCCCCTGCTTTATATATATATATATATATATATATATATATATATATATATATATATATATATACTGCGTATTTTGTTGTTTCATTCGTGCTTATTGTGTTTGCCAAGTGCTATACGTAATTGTATTTAAATGCAAACCTATTGTGGGATTTTGAGAAATGTACAAATTAATTTGAGTCGAGCTTTTGGTGAATATAATGGAGTTAGTGCCTTATTATATATATATATATATATATATATATATATATATATATATATCACTCTGATCTGATACATTTATTTGTTATGCATATATATGTTGTTTCCTTATGCTCTTTTGGTGATCGAATATCTCGGGATCGATCAGGTGCTTGGCACTTGTGATGAGAGTTCTATTTTCTGGAGTTTAACTCTTTGCTGTCTGGATCTTCATTCCTTAATGCTGAGAAGGAACGCGCATTCTTGTCCTTCTGATCCTGATTTGTATTAGTGACTGGGTACTTCAATCCCCTTATTTCCTTTATGCATGCTCGCACGCACACACATTAATTACATGTTTGATTCATGAATTTTGAAGCTTAGTATATATGCTCAATCATAATGCAAGTGATTGCTATTGTATCTCTTGAATTGGTGTTGCATGCGCATATGCTACTGTGGTGGATTTTCTATTCAAGTTTGTAGCAAACATGGATAGAAAATCCACTGCAGCTGCATATGCGCATGCAACACCAAAAGATACAATAGCTATCACCTGCATTATAATCGAACATATATATACCCTAAGCTTCAAAATTCATGAATCAAACATATAATTAATATGTGAGTGCGCAAGCATGCATAAAGGGAAGAAGGGAATTAAGTACCTAGTCACCAATACAAATCAGGATCAAAAAGACACAAGAATGCACGTTCCTTCTCAGCATTAAGGACTGAAGATCCAGACAGTAAAGAATGAAACCCCAGAGAAAAAGAATCACCATCACAAGTATCAAGCACTTGAACCTGATATATTCACCAAAAGAGCAACCATAAAGAAACAACGTATCCATAATAAATATATCATATATGTAACAGAAACAGAAACTACAGAGCAACCATAATACACCAGTGTTAACAAAATGCACCAATAGTGTTAGGAAAAAGCACAACAATGAAATGCACAAATACACCAAAAAACACACAACAAACCCAAAAAAATGCACCATATAACTCGCTACCCCTAATGGTGTATTTCTGAAGACTGTATGGTGCTTTTATTCATACCTAATGGTGCGTTTTTTGTAATGCGTACCTAATTTGTGCATGTTTTTTGTTATGCATTTTCTAACATGGATGGTGTATATTTGTATAACTATTTGTGCGGCCGCACTGACCACACGGGAAGACGCGACAGAACCTGAACTCGACTTTTATATATATATATATATATATATATATATATATATAGTAAGGCACTAATTAACTTCATTCACAAAAAGCTCCACTCAAATTGTTTTTCAAAATATCACAATAGGTTTGCTTAGAAACCATATATTTTATCATTTAAACACAGTTACTTATAGCACTTTGAAATGAAAAAGGAAATATGCAATGTACTATTCTCGACTATTTTTCTTTGTTTGCAATGGTCCTTTGTTATATCTCTAACTCTCATAAGTACTCCGCATGCAAATTTGTTTACCAGGATTACATGCATAGTAACACCAACAAAGATTTAGCATACTAGAATCAAGAAAAAAACAAAGGGAACTTTTTCCTCAACCTTTTGTCCATTAGGCTTATATTTTGGAGGTATTTTTTCGCAACTCATTAACCATTTTGGAGGCGCTTATACATTTATTTATGTCTCTCCAGCTTAGCAAACCCAGATACAAACATAGGTAAAATCCCATATATGTATGTATGTATGACATTAATTATTAGGTAAAGGTGATGGATGAATAAAATGGATAAGAAAGAAATACTACCATATATACCAAAAACTCATGGAGCTTGAGAAGTGTGGATCTAAAGCCAATACTCCAGCGGAAGCAACTGCAAAAACACACTGCAATATTCTGAGTAAGAGCGGCCACTCAGATTCCTTGGCCACCAAACATATATTCAATGTGGGATAACAAGAAGTTATCATCAAATTAAATAGCTATGACATCTGAGTTTAGTGTAATTATTCAAACTATATTACTTGATGTTAAACAACTTCATATGGAAACAGGGGAAAACAATAAAGAAACTGCCTCCTCATCTAGAGTTAGAAATTTATACAATTTATTGTTTTCTACTTAGGAAGCTAGGCTAGCTAGCTTGTGGCTTGAGGCTTATTTTATCATCATGCCTACTATGATGTTCGAGGTTTTTGCTCTATGAATTGAAGGTGTATAATATCAATGGTGTTGAAAGAGGTGAGATTAAGGAAGAAATATTAATGAAGTGAACTAACGATGACATATCATGTGTTTAAGACAAAGAAACACAAGTTTGAAGCTAATAGAAAAAGTGTTAACTGAACCTGTAGCAGTGTTGGGTAAAATTAAAGACTTGTTAATTAAGAAGAATAATGCAGCAAGCAGTGATTCGGATCATGATTCAATATTCAAATAATCAAATCTGCCACTTAAAGAAGCTAAGTACCTGTCCTGCAGGGAAGTTATCGTCGTATTACCAAGCAGTTTCCAACCTTAGCTTTGATCCTTGTATCCTTGGGGACAATTAAGCTAAGGATCATTTAGAGGGGGAGGAAATGTAATGAACCAGACTGATTGAGAATGATACAAACAACAGGGGATCAAAATGCAATAATAGTAATTCAGAAGCTTAGGAAATATGTTAGAATGCTTTTATCCTTTCTTGATTCAGTCTATTTGTCTTGTGGTGTGCTTGTAAGGGATTTTATCCAACTTTTTGAATGAAAAAAAAAAAAAAAAAAAAAAA